CCGTGGAAGACGACTTTTGATCGGAGAAATAGGCAGCAAATTGTACTCTGATTATTGGGCACTGCTTAAGAATGGAAGGAAATTAGCATCCTTCATTTTATCTGGGTTAATAGCCCTAAAAGTCATGCCAAGCAGCCGTCAATGATGCATTTAGTCCATCATCATTCTGATTGGACGTCTTCATTTGTCATTTGTTAAATCACAGGGAACAGCTATGGTTTTTTAGGCAACTCATTGTATCGCACTCAAAGCAGGTTTTGACTACCTTGAGAGCCAGAGGTCTGTCCGTCTGTGTCCTGTTGTGGGCAGAGTTCAGCGTCTTCCGAATTACGAGACACGAAGCCGTCGTTATGGTACTCGTCGATGGTCGACTGGTCGAAGCTAAACGCGCTGCTTTCCTTCATCTCAGAAAAGTACTCCTGGTTGGTCGACAGGCTGCCAACTTTCGAACGCTTCGACAGGTCCGCGTCTTGCTCGGAGGACACGTGCTGCACGGCGATGCCAATGTTTTCATCTGACGTTACTAAAGGACGACAAGCATTTAGCATGATAATCACGAATCGAACACGAGCACAGGTTCAGATGGACTAAAACATATATAATAACCAACACGAGGCGCAACACATTAAAATCTCTTGAACCTCATTCGAGTTAAGCATGCTGCCAAGGATTAGATTCACTCGTTCACGTGTATGCCCTTTGAGGACCGCTTTGCGAGAGGACCAAACCGACCATACGGTGACAGCGTTAAAGACGTCCAGTCGTTACTGCGATTTATGACTACTTAATGCCAATCGAATTTGTTGCACTTCTTATTGGACCAGAGTTGGCAGAGCGAAAAATTGATTCATGGCGCACTGTGCACGCACCAACTCAGACGTTTCAACGTCGTCCTTGTGATGAGTCATTCACCGTTAAACATGGTCTTGGCAAAATCGAAGATTTTCGTGCAGTATGAGGGTGCAAATTGCTAAAAAATGTGATAGATATAACCAAAAGGTTAGTTATTCATAAATCCAGGTGGCTTTGGACGAGCCGTGCAAAGCGGACAATGACTGAATTAAACGAAAATAATAACTCCAGAGTGACTTTCAGTGGAGTACATTATCATTTGGCGCAAAGACTTGTCATGAACCCTAAAAAGCACAAAAGGTTTGGCCAACGAGACAGTGGCAAAGAGGGATTGATATACCGTTTAATGTCTTTAAAACAAGTTTTAGGCGCAGAATGGACAGACTGACAACTGCTTTCCATACTGGT